AATCCAAAATGCGTTGGGACCAGAACTTGTTGTCAGATTTTGGACGTTTTTGGGATTTTGGAATTATTTGTGCTTTATATTTACCAGTTTCTACGTGCTAATCTGGAACATCCAAAATTGAAATGCCTCAGTGAGCATTTCCTGTGAGCATCATGTCATACTCAAAAAGTTTCAGATATTGGAGCATTTCAGATGCTCAACCTGTATAGCATAGACATACTTTTTTCTTTTTTTTTTTTTTTGAGATGGAGTTTGGCTCTTATTGCCCAGGGCTGGAGTGCTATGGCGCAATCTTGGCTCACTGCAAACTTCACATCCCAGGTTCAAGCAATTCTCCCTGCCTCAGCCTCCCCAAGTAGCTGGGATACAGGCATGCATCACCACGCCCAGCTAATTTTGTATTTTTAGTAGAGAAGAGCGGAGTTTCACCATGTTGGCCAGGCGGTCTCGAACTCCTGACCTCAGGTGATCTACCCACCTCAGCCTCCCAAAGTGTTGGGATTACAGGCGTGAGCCACCACGCCCAGCCAGACATAGCTTTTATACGCACTGGAAACCAAAAAAGGTGTGTGACTCACTTCACTGAGATATTTGCTTTATTGCAGTGTCTGGAACCAAACCCACAATGTTCCGAGGGGTAACCCTATAACATTTTCCTGTTATCCAGGCTTTGTTTTTCCGTTTATAGATCACAGGGAGAGTAGATTTAGCATAATTCTCAAGGACTCAAGAATTTTTGGAATGGTAAAGGAGCACCAGCTTTAACTTAAAGTCGCCAGCTATATTAGCCCCTAACAAGAGAGTCAGACTGTTCTTTGAAGCTCTTGAAGCCAGGCATTGACTTCTCCTCTCTAGTTACGAAAGTCCTAGATGGCATCTTTTTTCAGTATAAGACTGTTTGGTTTATATTGAAAATCTGTTGCTTAGTGTAGTCACCTCCATCAATGATCTTAGCTCGATCTTAGCCTCTACATCAGCACTTGCTGCTTCACCTTGCACTTTCATGTTATGGAGATGGCTTCTTTCCATAAAACTCATGAACCAATCTCTGCTAGCTTCTAACTTTTCTTCCCCAGCTTCCTTACCTCTCCCAGCCTTCCTAGAATTAAAGAGAGTTAATGCCTTACTCTGGATTAGGCTTTTGTTAAAGGGAATGTTGTGACTGGTTTGATCATTTTCTTCTTTTTTTTGAGACAGGGTCTCACTCTGTCACCCAGGTTGGAGTGCAGTGGTGCAATCATGGCTCACTGGTCTTGACCTCCTGGACCCAAGCAATTCTCCCACCTCAGCCTCCTGAGTAGCAGGGACTATAGGCGTACACCACCGTGCCCGGCTAATTTTTAATTTTTTTTGTAGGGACAGGGTTTTTTATGTTTCCCAGTCTGTTCTCAAACTCCTAGGCTCAAACAATCCTCCCACCTCGGCCTCCCAAAGTTCTGGGATTACAGAATGAGCAACTGTGCCTGGCCTGGAAAATTTTTTATAATTTTAGAGTGGGAAAAGTCTTTTTTAAACTAAATTCCAAATACAAAAGACAAGACAAATAAATTTAAGTATTAAACATTTAAATCTTTTGTATGTATATGGAAGAACATCCAAAAGGCAAAGAACAAAATGAAAAAAAAAAAGGTGTAGAACACAGATGACAAAAAGCTAATGTCCTCAATATATAAAGAGCTTTTAAAAACGAATAAGAAAAAAATCCTTTGCCCATTTTTCTCTACTGATTTTTTTTTCTTAAAGTTTTGTTCAACCTGAACATCTTTTCATTGGGAAAAAATGCGGATGCCCAACAGTATATGAAAACACGTTCACCTGACTCATAACTTTAAAACTGAAAATTAAAACAATCATGAGACACTTAAAAACATCTTAACAAAGATTAAAGTTCAGTGTTGAAGATGGCATAAGAAACATATATTTTGACACACTGTTGTAAGAGCATACATTGATGCAATCTCTTTCGGAGGGAAACTTGGCAATATCAATCACTTTTTTTTTTTTTACAGCTACACGAACTGGAATGGGATCTATCAAAGTTTTAAATGCACGTTAGCTTGCTTGACTCAGAACTTGTATATGCACTTTTAGGAATTTATGTCACAGGTATATTCACATAGATGCACAATGATATCTATTTATGTATAATCCTTACAGAATTATTTATAATGGTAAATAAATGCAAACAACGAAACATCCATCAATAGGAGCTGGCTAAATAAATGATGGCTCTTTCACACAATAAAATACTATGCAGCCACCAAAAAGAATTAAATAGAACTATCTGTACTGATGTAAATAAGTGTCTAAGATACACTTGCAAGAAATATTAAGTATTTAAGTATTTCATTTATATGAACAATGAAAGTGTTTCATTTGTATGAGAAAATATAAAGGATGGACACACAGATGCACGTGCACGTGTGCACACACACACACATCAGATGCTTGTATATGAAGATCCAGTGGCAGAACTTTGAGCCCTTTCCTCTGCTTTTGGGGGCATTATGGTGCTGTGGTAGGGATGCACTGCAGTTGAGATCTCCAACCAGATCCACCCAGCATCCCCTTGGGATAGCAAATATTCACAGTGCCCCTTTACTCTCCTGAAATTATGTCCATTAAGAATGTAGGTCTGTCTTCACATCTAATTTCAAATAAAATCAAAACAATGCCCTAGGAGGTAAATGAGATAAAAGCAAAGTTATGTATAATTAAATAATATGTACTTTGATATGTAAATACTCTGTATGTTTAAACTGCAAGACATAATGAAGGTGTCCAGGGCTTTCCCTGTGCACAGAATCACAGCGAATGCAACAGCCCCAGATATAGCCTTACACACAGGTATAGACTAGGGACTAATACCGACTTATCCTGCCAGCGTGATTTTACAAATAGGTGAGGAACCCTTGGCGAAGTTCCAAGTAAAACAAAGTACAGGCTTTGCTCCATTTACACGGTAGTTGCATTCCTAGAAAATTCAGGGTATATTAAGACCATGGAAATTGGAAG